CCGCCGTCCATGGCGCGTCCAATATCTAATAATGAAACGCCCGCTCAGCGAAGATTGAACACTTACCAGGACAGTCAGGCAGCCTCAAAACAATCAGAGAGCAAGAGGGTCGCTTGCAGAATGCAGCAACCCTTGCGAATGCTTTCGCAAACTTATTGGTTTCAATGGGGGATCCCTAGAAACAAACACTGATTTTGCCACTCGGGACTCTCACGGATGCATCTTGGACGTCCGGTTGATCACTTCCTGCTCGAATCCTACTAGGTTGCCCTCCACGCGCTTCAAGTAGCGGTCCAGCTTTGCTGCATACCTTTGGTGCGTGGCACTGTTGGGCAGGCCACCCGGACTCGCTGCATCCGGCTTGCAGTCCATAGATTTGAAGCTCAGCTGCGGCTCCACAAAATCCAGTGCTTCCTGCTCGGTACACCTGACTCCCTGCAAGTCCTGGCTTGGTCTATTCAAGTCGCACCTGCAAAAAGTGAGAAACTTGTTGCTGGTTAGTGTGGAACATCACCCACAAAAGGAGAAAAGCCACGCCAAAGAGCAGCCAAGGGTCATAGGCACTGAGCCTTTTCCCGACAGGCATTGCATGAGCATGAGCATGAGCATGACCATCTGTCCTGCTCGTGCTGCATCCCATGGCACCAGAGTGAAAAAAGCTGACTGGCGCAAGACAGCTGCGGTGCGTTTGGCTTCTCTGACTGACGAACTCCTGACAACTTGGCACACGCACCAGGGAATACAGAACCCCCCATCTCACTGGCTGAGTGGATGGCAAAAAAAGTCCAAACTTTATATTGACCCCTAAAATGGTCTTCCCAAAAAGTTTCAAGTTCATGAACTGAGGAAGTGAGCCATAAAACGAGCACCTTGAGTTTGAGATCAAGAGGTAAAGTGCCAGATGAATATGTCCTTCAGGGGACTCTTCACAACACCTTTCTCAAGTCCTCGACTGTGTGTCCGAAGCTTTTTGCGCGTCAAACGAGGAACCCAAGTTCCCACGACCATTCACCCAACTGGGGCAGGGCGGCAGGGCGCACTTTCTGAACGAAGCTGGGTGTCAGGACAACTTACCGATGACCATGCAATCTTCTCTTGGAATTGGATCCACTCGGATTCGGACCTTGGATTCCGGTCTTCCTTTTCTGGGCTGCCCTCAGATGGAAAGTACCACTAAACACTACAGGCTAAAAGGCTAAGGAACCGGGTGGCTGGGAGCCACCAAGTTTTGGTTTCCCTTTTCAACCAAGGTGAAACCTCCAAAGCGTTGTTTTACATGGCCATCCTTGCGAAGGGAAACCAAATAAATGCCGCTCTCATTTTGAGGACCCCCCCCGATTTCTTGCTGGTCAACAGGGAATGACCGTTCCGGTTGGGAATGAACCGGTTTTGGGGATTTCCGAACAAAGGAAACTACCAGGGATGGAGATTGTTCCTCGGGGTGAGACTCGATCGAGCAAATCGGCAACTTTCCAGCCTTCTGCAGGCCTTTGTTCGCCTGCTCAAAGGCCGGCTGCGCTGCTTGCTCTGCCACCTCGAGAGCAAACCCCTCGCCGGGAGAAGAAAACAAGATTGGGCGGTCCAAAGTGGGTTGCCCGATCGTTGAAAACGGATTCATGGACCAAAACCTGCAGTCCATGATTGTTTTGTAAATTTTTGACCTATACCCACTACACACACAAGGAGCACCTGCCTGCTTCAAAGCGGCGGTTGCCCTCTTTTGGCCTCCTGGAGCCCCGTGCATAGGTACACTAGCTACATGCGAGATAGTGGTTAATCTTGGCGATTTCCTCAAAGCTCATGAGCCACGAAACCGTGTGGCCAAAAACCCAAAAAACTTTCCCACCTTGGGCGAAGCAGTCTTCGTTGCGAGTTCTGTGATGCATCAAGCAAAACCTGCAGGATCGCAGGATCGAAGTTGAGCTTTATGGGGCGGAACTGAGCGAATGATCCCATGGCTCATTTCCCTAGGATCCGACAGCGATAAGATCAGGGACATGTGTTTGTCTTGGTCCACATTGCTAGCAATCTCTCTCAAAACTGGAACTCTCCAGTGTCATTTCCAGAGGGTCCGCCATCCACCTTGAATCAATGAATAGTTGTCCGTGGCGGACAACAAATCGATCCGATGATCCGCCAGCCAAAAAGGGCTAAAGAAACACAAAATGATTTTCGCCATCCTCCCAAGTGTTCGACACCTCAGCCCAAAAACAGGCAGATCGACCCCTCGCCCCAAAAAGCACGGAGCCCACCCAAAAAAACATAGGCGTAAAAAAAGAAACGATCCGCGATCCGCGCGGTTCGAAAAACTGCCTGGATCGCCAGTTGCTGTTTTTGTCCATGCACTTTGCCCCTAAAACCAGCAACAGTGACAGAAAAAAGCAGCAACTTGGCAATCTAGGAGTCCCCTTTGTCCTTTTCCCAGACTTGAACTGCCTCTGTTGGTGTAGTGGTCGGAAAAAAACAAAAACAACAGGGAGACAAAAAAGAACGGGGAGACAAGAAGCCCCGCCTCCAGGGAGCTGCGCTTGCTCTGCCGCACCTTCTCCCAGGGTGCCGCCGGCGCAGTCTTCTGCGTGGCCTCGAAGAGGGCCACCAACGTCCCCAGCTCCTGCGGAGCGGAGCGGAGCGGAGCCGACGGCTCCGCCACGGCAGAAAACGGAGCCGCCGCCGCGGAGTGGCGGGGGCTGAAGAGGGAAACCTCGGTAAAGTCTGCGTACACCGAAGCGGGGAAGTCTCAGTAAGACCTGTGGCACAGCTTCCATAAATTATTGTCCTTTTGGTTGGTGTCCCTGGTAGATGGTGAAAAACCAGGTGAACCAGGAATCGCCAGCAATTTTCTTTTGACCAAGACAACCAAAAAGGACACCTATGGAAACCAGGGACAGGCAGTACTTTGTTTGATGAAATAAAGGCAGTGATGTTTTGGAAGCCATGGTGGAAATCTACTAAACTCGTCCAAGTTCTGGGGAAGAAAGCCAAAAAAATGCGCTTCGCAAGAGGAAGCGATTTTGAGAAAGGACCCAGAGGGGAAAAACCAGTTCGTTGGGGCCAACATGGAGGTCAAAAACTCCACCAGCCGAGTCGCAATCAAGACATGGTCACAAGCGGATCGGTCTACCCAGAAGAATCAAATCTGCGGCTGAATTTTAGTTGGGGACCCTTGGGTGGGCATCATTTGCATGGGAGGGGTTGTGATGTCCACCAACAATTTTCGGACATGCTCAGAGCCTGAACAGTCGAAAGAAAAAAAGAAGAAAAAAAAGAGAACTCTGTTTGAACCCGTCCATTTTGGGGAGAAAACAAAGGGACCCATTTCAGGGGAAATTCGGTTTCTATCCATGTTGGACACCATTGGGGTGCCTAGGGACAAACACATTTGGCCACAAACACAATTTCTCAAGAGCGTCTGAAAATCTGGGGGAGAGGGGGCACTGGCAAATGGGTGGTTTCCCTTGAAAACGATCCAATACACCAACAGAGGCAGTTCAAGTCTGGGGAAAAGGAAAAAGGGGACTCCTAGATAGCCAAGTTGCTGCTTCTTGTCAGTCACTGTTGCCGGTTCTAGGGGAAAAAATGTGCCTGGAAAACAAAAACAAGCCACCACTGACTGGCCAAGAACGAGATTCCAAGGCCTTCCCATGAGCCGACGGCCGGGTTTCCAAGCCGAGCCGACAGCCTTCCGAGGAACCGGAGAGACGAGTGGAGCGAAGCCGGAGCGAAGCATTGAAGAGACTCAGGGTTCGACATTCCTTCTCGGATGCCCAGGGGATTTCCATGGGATAAAGGAATCGGCCTTCTTTTTTGGTTGACTTTCAAGGGGAGCCCTTCCCCCAAAAAAAGGAAAATGGGCACCACTGGGCAACTGGGCCTTGCACGAGCCGAAAACCCGCGTGTGAGATATGAGCTTGAGTTTCTAGGTGTGGCCGGGCAATGGACAAAGACATTCACCACCCACCGGCCCTCCCATTCATAGCCTTGTATTTCTTGGGAACTCACGACCGACGGAAAGTGATGGGACAAGAGAAGATGAAAGGGATAAGAATGGAGCATGTCCGATCTCTCCCATTCCCACTCCTCTCTTCGTTCGTGAGTGTCCATGAGAGATAGAATGCTTCTTGGATGATTTCTTCCTTGGCAGTCAATTGTCAAGAGTTCTTTGTTATAGACGGTTCTCGGTAAATCCTTGACAAGAAAAGCCCGGCATACAAGCATTCTCGCTAAAACTCACCTCTAGAATCCATCCCGCCTCTCAGTCTTCTCTGTGAGGCATGAAGGGATGGGATAATGATGGATGGAGAAACGGGGTATTTTCCCGGTCTGGCACAAGATTGGCTTTTCGGATTGAAAGGGAAACTCGACTCATCTGCACCTGAAAAAAAAATACAAAAAAAAACTCAACCCATCAACACCAACCGGAAGAATTCACAAATGAAGGAAACCTGGACCTCACGGAGCCATCCTAAAAAGTCCAAGAGGTGAGCTTCAGGAGCCGTTTTCCACCGCCCACACCCGCGTCCTTCTCCGCAAGGCTGAGGGTCTTGTCCAAGGCATCCTGCTGGTCTTAGTAGAATGCCCCTTCTGTGTACCATTTGGCTGGGTCACAAGCCAAATGATACCCCCAGTGAACATCCCAATCCCCACTAAAATAGACTAAGATACGTGGTGCACCTATCCCGAAATGGTACCATTGGTTTTGAACCATGGCCATTTATGTCGGGAGGCACGCATGACCGAGATAGTTGCAAACACCAAGTGTTGCGCTAACAAGTGGCCAGTCAAACACGAATCACTCACTCCACGCAATTGCAAGTTTCTGGCAGCCCCAACAAGCCAATGTGAAATTCGGAGTACACAATCTGGAGGACCATACTACACCCAGAAATGAACCAATTGCCCACTACAAGGGAAATCGCCCCCTGACAATGGTCCCCCGGACTGCTTCCGTACACACCCTCCTTATGGTACCTCCAAACTGCGTGCCTTGCCTCCTCCCTCCCTGCCCGGCCACTCAAGCGCCAAGCCGACGGCTCGACTCAGCAAACAGAACGTCTGAGAACGCGGTCCAACAGGTTGGGAGCTGCAATCCCCGGAGTTTGTCTAGGTCCTCCAGAGAGGTTAGAATAAGGGTACCAACTTTTTGCTGTAGTCGTTTTTAGTAGGGGAACCCTCCCCCCAAAAAAAAGGGCACTACTGGGGACTTAGTTGTTCATACCAAAACACACAATCTGCAGAACTCCACAAACTGGAAATGAGCCGAATTCCCAGCTCAAGGTCCTGGTCAAGAAGGTCCCTTTGCCGCTTTTTTCCCACAAGCAGTGCCCAAAACAAGAATCCACGAGTGCACCCTCCACACTTAGGAGCTGTTTTGCACATCCCAAACCGGCAATTCGTCAAGCTGGCCAGGCAAGCTGGACCGATGCCCATACCCTCCCGAGAATCCTGCTCCTAGGGCCTCCCCCGGCAGTCTGCGGGGGGATCAAACCACCAAGGAAACGACCACCGTGTTTTTTTTGGCCGCCCCTTTGTGCTTGTGGCGTCCTTCCTTCCGGGGGGGTTTCAGGGGGGACGGCGTAAACGGTCCCCGAGCTCAACGCACGAGAAACGCCGACGCCTCCTTCCCCTGGTGGGCCGCCAGGTCGAGGCTTTGAGCCTGGCGCACCACGGCGTCCACGTGCAGCTGCGTGAGCTGCTGCTTCGGGGCCTCCTCAGGGCTGAGACTCTGGAGTGATATTGAGCTACGAGAAGGCCCGTACGTAGCCATTTTATCCAATTGAGTGTTAGGGCGAACCCGCCCTACAAGAGTGATTCGCTGTTTTTGCTTTCCTCGGGGCTCGATGTATTGGTCTTGGGTCCCATTTTGGTTGGTGTTACAGGGAATCCAAAGCCACCAAATTGGGGATACCCTCAAAACGACCGATCCACATGGCTGTGAGTTTTCACAGGGAAGATGCGGCGATGGGTGCCTGGCCTCCTAAAATTGCCCGTTTCTTTCCCATAGCCACTGGGGGTCCGGGGAGATGGCGAATTTTGAGGCTTGGAACCACCTCACAAGTGGCTGGGGGACATTCATCCCCACCTGGATGATGTCCACCAGTTTAGGTCCCCAAATAAAATTCTAGCAGGTTAATGTAAGATCTAGTCCGGTTGATTTTGCAAGGCATGTTCGGTGGGATTGCGCTTCCCTAAAGTGGGCATAAGGAAGGCTGCAAGTTGAGCATGTACGTATGTCGCCCCCCAAAATGCGAAGTCAGAAGGACCTTCTGCACTTGCTTGGACCGTTCTGGGACTGTCGCCTTCCAAACCCCTCCAAACAGCTTCAGTGATTCTTGGAAAGAGCGTAGGGACACGTACCCTCCCACCCTTTTCACATGGATCCTGACGTTCAGGGGTTCTGGCTTGGATAATTTTCCTTTTAAAGGGACCGGGTCCCGTACCGCGAACGGTTCCAGCTTACGTAGTGGGAGGGCCACCCTTTGCGAGGTCGTCCAAATTTCCCACCCCCTCGCTCCTTCTCGTGAGGCTCCTCCCCCTCCTCCTCCTCCTCCTCCGATGCATCCTGGCAACTGGCACTCGTGTGCACCACTAAACCCGTCTCTTTTTGAGGCTCGGCACCCTGTTTTTGTCGGGTGGCTGTAAACAGAACCCAAAGGAAAGCACACAATTGTGGGTCCCCTATTTTGAGACACATCCAAGTTTGAAATAGGGGCCCCCTAAATTTTTGTTGGTGTCCTTTTGGTTTCCTTTTGACGCCGCCTAAAAAGAACCACCATTTTGAGAAGCACGAGACCCCTGTTTTGCTCTATATGTATAAGCTTGCAGGCTGTTTTTGTTCGCTCGCTCAAAACAATTGCTGAACTGCACTCGAGTAGTGGCTTGGTATTGGTTTAGTTTAGTATTGGTGTAGTGCATGAGTTCAGTATCGGTGTGCACTGGCTTAATATTGGTTTAGCAATGGTTGAGCATTTGCTTGGTATTGGTGTAGTATTGGCTTTGTATTGGCTACGTGTTGGCTTAGTATTGGTGTAGCACTGGTTTCGCATTGGCCTAGTATTGGTTTAGTATTGGTTTAGTGTGTGGTGTAGTATTGGTTTAGTCATGGTTTTGCATTAGCTTGGTGTTGGTTTAGTATTGGCTTAGTGCATGGATTTAGCATTGGTTTGGCAATGGTCTAGTATTGGATGTGTGTTGGTTTAGTATTGTCTACGTGCTGGCTAGTATTTGTTTAGACCTGGTTTCGCATTGGCCTAGTATTGGTTCAGTATTGGTTTACTTTATTGGTTTAGTATTGGTTTAGCCATGGTTTTGCATTAGCTTTGTATTGGTTTAGTATTGGCTTAGTGCATGGATTTAGCATTGGTTTGGCAATGGTCTAGTATTGGATGTGTGTTGGTTTAGTATTGTCTACGTGCTGGCTAGTATTTGTTTAGACCTGGTTTCGCATTGGCCTAGTATTGGTTCAGTATTGGTTTACTTTATTGGTTTAGTATTGGTTTAGTCATGGTTTTGCATTAGCTTTGTATTGGTTTAGTATTGGCTTAGTGCATGGATTTAGCATTGGTTTGGCAATGGTCTAGTATTGGATGTGTGTTGGTTTTGTATTGGCTACGTGTTGGCTTAGTATTGGTGTAGTACTGGTTTCGCATTGGCCTAGTATTGGTTCAGTATTGGTTTACTTTTTTGGTTTAGTATTGGTTTAGCCATGGTTTTGCATTAGCTTTGTATTGGTTTAGTATTGGCTTAGTGCATGGATTTAGCATTGGTTTGGCAATGGTCTAGTATTGGATGTGTGTTGGTTTAGTATTGTCTACGTGCTGGCTAGTATTTGTTTAGACCTGGTTTCGCATTGGCCTAGTATTGGTTCAGTATTGGTTTACTTTATTGGTTTAGTATTGGTTTAGTCATGGTTTTGCATTAGCTTTGTATTGGTCTAGTATTGGCTTAGTGCATGGATTTAGCATTGGTTTGGCAATGGTCTAGTATTGGATGTGTGTTGGTTTAGTATTGTCTTCGTGCTGGCTAGTATTTGTTTAGACCTGGTTTCGCATTGGCCTAGTATTGGTTCAGTATTGGTTTACTTTATTGGTTTAGTATTGGTTTAGCCATGGTTTTGCATTAGCTTTGTATTGGTTTAGTATTGGCTTAGTGTATGGATTTAGCATTGGTTTGGCAATGGTTTAGTATTGGCTGTGTGTTGGTTTAGTATTGGCAACGTAGTATTGGTTTAGTAACGGTTTTGTATGAATTTAGTCTTGCTTTTTAGTAATGTTAACCCTGGATTAATAAACCCCTGGTTGATTAATAGGGGGGTGTCCCCTTTTAGTGGGGATTCAGACAACTTTTGGAGGGAACACCCCAATAATGGGACGGGTTCTACTTAGATCCTGAGTCAACATTCACGGTTTCGTACTAATTCGTATTGGATCAACCGCTTCCCATCACCAGGCGAGCGCCTCGCCGCGTCGCTGCCGCGCCTCGCTGTCGCTTTTCTGGACCTCCTGCTCCGAAGGGCCGATGCCAAAGAGCGGGCGAGAGCCGAAGTCTTCGCACGCGACCAGGCGCGCGATGAAGCGGTTGGCCTCCTCGTAGAGGTCCTGAGCCCGCGACAAAGCGCGCCTCACAGGGTAGCCTCAATTCCATGTAGGTGTCCTAAACCTACCAGAAAAAGGTAGTCCAAAAGACGGGGATTGATTTAGGTTTCCCTTTAATTCAACCCCAAAGGGCAGAATGGGTAGCCCAAAAAGATGGCACTCCTTTGTGCCATCTGAAATCGCGAGGTTGACGATCCCTGCCAACCCCAAGAGTGATTTGACCATGGGATGTGATACGGGTGGGTTTTTGAGGCTCGGAACTCTTGTTCAAGCTGTTTTCAAGGAAAGCCAAGGCCAAAAGGGAACCAACCATTTTGGGGGGGCCCTATTTTGACTTGTTTGACACATAGCCTGTTGGGGCTTTCACAAAAAACGCAACCCTGTACTGTGTGTCACCCATTAATTTCAGCTTGCGCGGGTGGGTGGTTGGTTGAAAAGGAAGGGCGGGCGAGCGGGCGGACGGACGGGCGGGCGGGCGGGCGGGTGGGTGGGAGCATGATGCGGCTGCTACTGCGCTTGTAATCACACTTACGAATACACATACACACAGCACAGCACAGCACAGCACAGCACAACACACACAACAAACAACACACACACACAAAAAAAAAAACACAAAACACAACACACACACACACACACACACAGAGACAGACACACAGAACACACACACACACAAAACACCAAAAACACACACGCACACACAACACAACACAACACAACACAACACAACACAACACAACACAACACAACACAACACAACACAACACAACACAACACAACACAACACAACACAACACAACACAACACAACACAACACAACACAACACAACACAACACAACACAACACAACACAACACAACACAACACAACACAACACAACACAACACAACACAACACAACACAACACAACACAAACACAACACAACACAACACAACACAACAACACAACACAACACAACACAACACAACACAACACAACACAACACAACACAACACAACACATACACACACAACACACACACACACAACACACACACACACAACACACAACACACACAACACACACACACACACAACACACACACAACACACACACAACACACACACACAACACACACACACACACACAACACACACAACACACACACACAACACACACACACAACACACACACACACACAACACACACACACACACACAACACACACAACACACACACACACACACACGCGCGCGCGCGCACGCGCGTGCAGAAACCCCATGAACCAAACCGTAAAGCCTAGAAACCCATTGCGAGGTTTTTTTGTTCAGCCCATTCATCAGACCTCCCACCACACTCCCACCCCAACTTTCTCCTCTTCATCCTCGGCGCCTTTCTTCCAACGAAGCCCCCGAAACTCGCGCCACCCCCTTTCGGAGGCCTTGTGGACAAATAGGCCGTGGCAAATGGAACCAATCCGAACCACTGGCTTCTACTCACCGATGAAAAGGACGCTTATGGTAGGCTGGTCTTGAACTCGGGAAACGCCTACAATGGGTCTGTTGACGGTGCTCTGATGTCTCTGGTGATGTCTCTGGTGATTTCAAGGCAAGCCAAACCCACCCGCTCCCTCCCGCCCCGCCCACCCCCCCCCGGCCGGACCCCCCGCCTGCCAGCGCTTCCGGCGCGTGCCCCCGGCGTTGCTCGAGGCGTACAAGGCCCCGGCACAGGAGCCGCGCAAGGCCTCCAGCGCGCAGCAGCAGCGCTGCCACGAGGCGAAGTGCTGGTCCTTGAACATGGCCTGCAGTGTCCCACTGAAGCCTCCTGAAAAAAATCCAAGAAAAAAAAGAGAAAAACACGGCGGAAGCCTGTTCTTCGGGGTTCCCCCTTGAACATGGCCTACGGCACCAAAGCCGCGGGGGGGGGAGGGGGCAGGGGGCAGGGGGGGGCAGCAAAAAAAAAGCTGGTGCGAGAAATGCAGGGAATGAGAAATGGAACGACCCCTATACACCATCTTCTAATATGGTGGTTTCCTGTAAGGGAAAAACAAACGGTATCCCCAACAGCGCCGGACATTCCTGGAACCCTGCGGAACCCCCCCGAAAACCCTTGGAACCCTCCTGAAAACTGCCCAGAGCTCCAAAAATGGGCAGAGACTCGATCCATAGCTTCCAGCGGTTAGCTATGAAAAACAAACCAAAAAAAAAAGCGCGACGGCACCAAACTTGCTGGCGCGAGAGATGCAGGGAATGAGAAATGGAATGACCCTTCACCATCCAAGTGGCGGTCCTTCGAGGGGGCCCAAAGCCTGGGTTCATTCAACCACATTCCCTATCGCAAGAGAACGCGACGGCACCCAAGGGGGAGTACCAAGTACAAAAAGATGGCCCGAAAAAAGAGACCCGTTGAAAAGGTGCCAGAAAAAGTAAAAAATGTTCCTGCTGAAGAAGGGGATCAATTCCAATTGACGTCATGGGACCAGCTAAAGTCATCCCTCTCTCCTCTCTCATGCAAGCTTTGCCTGCTCGCAACATCCCAGTCGTGTGTTTGCCAAGGTCGGTGGCATTCTGCGAAGGAATCGCATGGAATACAAAACGTCGCTTGCGTTTGAAAGACAACCCCCACGAACATCCGCGCTGTGTGGACGGTGGCACAAAAACACGTCCCACCGGCTCTGTGCAAGGTGAACAAAAAAAAAGAGCATCCGCAGAATGAAACCACGGGTGTTCGGCAGGAAAAAATACCTGAAAGCAAGATCCGCAGAATGAAACTGCTGGCTTTGCATCGCTGGGCCCTTTCTCCCGCCTTCTGCAAGGACAGCAGCTGCGCCCCGTGGGCCCGCAAAGCCGCCAGCAGGCCCTCGCGCTCTCTGGTGGCCTTTCCTGGAATCAATCCCAGGAGGATGTTTTTTCTCGGATCGAGGGGGCGAAGGGATATGACTGTCTCACCCAGCGGAACTCACTCTGCCTTTCCAAGCTTGGACGCGCTTGGTTGGTCTTCTGTCGACTTACCAAGCGGCCACCTACATGCACTACGTGGCTTCTTGGACGCACAAAAAGACGGGTCTGTTGTTTTTCAGGGGATCCCGCCAAAAATGGAAAACCAAAAGGAAACCAACCAACAAGGGGCAGCATCAAAAAATCAAAGGGCACGCCCAAATGGAGCCCAAATGGAAGCCCAAGATACTTCCATGGGCCAGCCCAAGGATTATCTACAACCCCTTCTCTGAGTAGAATAACCTCCCATTAGGGTGCTTGTTAAAATGGGTGCTCATTTTTGGGGTTTCCCAACCCCAAAAATGGGTGTCTTTCTTCCGGGGGCCCCAAGCAATGGCTTCGGTGTTCCTTTTGGCGTCCCTTCAAACCCACAGAAACAAAAAGCCTATGGGTTCCAACTCAACCCAAAAAAAAAAGGACAAAACCACCCCAGCCATCTCCGCCCCAACCGGAAACCGCTTTCTCATAGGTGTCCTTCTTGGTTGAAAAAATAGATTCGGGTTTTCTTCGTTGAGTGAACCACCAAAAGATCACCCGTCCGATTTTTCAACCAACCAAAAAGTTGACACCTCTGGCTTTGCTCAACAAAAAAAGACCAAACCCCCCCACCCACCCCCAGCCATCTCCGCCCCAAGCGGAAACCGCTTTCTTCTCGGAGGACAATCCTCTGACCAGGTCCAGCAGCGCCCGCAGCAGCGCGTCCAGGGCGGCCTCCCCGTGGCCGCAGGAGGCCACCGCGGGCAGCCGCACCAGGCCACGGTACCTCGAGGTAAGTCTCAGGGAAAAAATTCCGCCACGGGTAAAACCACCAGGGGGAAGACACACCTTGAAAAATGGGCGGTTGCAAATGGCAGGTTTATGGGTATGGGTACCCAGTTGTTTGGCAAATGGAAGTGTTTATCCTTAATTAGGTCCTCCGGTATAGAGGTTCGAATAAGTTGGTACCAACTTTTTGCTGTCGATTTTCTTGGTTGCAACGACCCCCCTGCAAAAAGTGTTTCACTTTTTGGGGGGTCTAGTGGAAATTCCAACTTGAGTTCAACCGATAAAAGGCTTGCCAGGTGGGATTTGGGGCAAAGGGTTGGGCATAGGCAAGGCTGCATAGTGAGCATGTATGTCTTCTAGTTGTTTGTCTTGTGTCTTTTCTTCTTTTTTTTAAGATGTTAGAATGAGGGTACCAACTTGTTTTTTTTTTCCGATTTTAGTAGCTTTGAACCCCCCCAAAAAAGAAACGGTGAAAGAAACGGCACCAATTGCTGGGGGACCTGGGGGTGCGCTCGCTACGGGTGGGAACCTTCTAAGGCCAGTGGAGCCAGCCATAGACGCGCGCCTTGTGACAAAGCGGGCTTCAAAAGCCATTGTCCTATCAAAACTCCAAGGTGCCAAGCACTGACACCTGCCACACATCAAAAGAAAAACTCAGGACAACAAAAACCAGCGCCGGCAGCGCTGGGGTTTGCCAGCGATCGTACCAGCATCGAGCTGGTGCGTCCTCAATGGCTTAAACATCGCGCGTCTCTGCTTCAGCAGGCCCTTTTTTTGGAAGCTCAGGCGCTGGAAACCACAGGCCGCCAGGTCGGGAGCCAATGCAACGAAGGAGCCACGAAGAAACACTGCGCCCGTCCTTTGGTGATCAGCCACAGAACCACAGAAATCCAAGTCCGAAAATCACAGCCATGTGTAAACTCGGTTGCTTTCTGCTCCCCGGCTAAAAGCTTAACTTTTGGTTTAATACGGAAAACCCATTAGTTGCAAAGAAGCAAAGTAGAAGTAGAGATAAACCCCTTTTGATCCGAAAATTACGACCATAGTAGAAGTCATCTCGCCCATCTCGCCTGTCGGGTGACTCCGCAGACAGGCAGCCCAGGACCCCCAACACCTCCGGGCAGTTGGCGGTTCCGGGACCTTTCAGGGTTCACGTTCTGCCCTTTGTGAGGGGTTTGCTTTCGGTTGGTTGAGGGAAACCAAGCACCAGGCATTTTGGGGTTACTTTTAAGCAAAAATTCTCCACTTTGGATCTGAGACATGACTCATAGACCCAACGGCCCCGAGCCCAGGAATATCTCACAAGAGCCAGAGGAGACTCTGGAAGAGGAACTTGGCCAAGATGATCTCTAGGGTCTGGGTCAATGCTGAGCGCATATGGCCGATGCTGCTCTGTCCCTGCAAAAAAAAAGGCGAATGCGAGCTGAGCTTTGTCGAACGCATCAGCTTGTGAGAAACTTGTGCTTGAAGATCAGGACAGGCCGGGAATTGAGCGACGACAAACAAAATCATAATCTCCTGGCGGCCAAGCCAGGACGTCCTGAAGTCATGACTTCTGGCGAAAATTGCGCCATCCCAGGAAAATAATGAAGCTAGCCAACAGGATGCAACTGAAACATCAGGAGCAAAAAAGCAACACTGCCGCACAACTAGTTTTGCAACCAAGACTTGTTCCCAAGTCCGTGACGCAAACCATCGAAAGCACTCGGCAAATTGCGCAATTGGGCGGGGCCTGGTTGCCTGGGCGACGTGTCCCTTGCCCCTCAAAATGAGCGTGTTCCTTTTGAGGATTTCTCTGTCGGGGCTGTTGAAAAAAGAACACAAAGGCTACTGCCCATGTTGTGAGTTCTCGAGTTTGCATGCGTCCTACAGTAGGGGGCTCAAAAAATGGTTGGCCCATTAAGACACCGTGGAGAAGGTTCGATCCTATATGGAAACACCCATTTGGGTGCAACTTTTTGCTTGAGGATACGCCCTTATTGGCAAAAAAAACCACGAGACCATTTTGGGGGACCGCAAAAGGCACTGACAAACCCCAATCCCATCCGCCCGAGCCCCTGGCTGCAGTGGCCAACATCGCCGCCGCTTGCATGACGGAGCACAGCCAGCGCATGGTCCCTACATCCTGGTGGATCGATTCTTCGAAGCCAAGGGGGTTGGGGAAAGACCTTGTGTACAAAAAGCTAGGCACTGTGGCTTTACCCTTATCTATATATATATATGCCTCGCGCACCCCAAAGAACACGTCAACCTCACTGAAACTAGACTCGCATGTCTGAGACTAGTCTCAGGCCCTGAGGCCCGGTCAGCAACCACCCAAGCAAGGCTCAGCCCAGTCCGCCCAGCCCAGGCCCTAGCCCAGCCCGTCTCCATGACTCACTCCTGGTCCTGTGCATCGCCTTGCCCTTGCCTCGGGGATTCCTGCGGGCCCATGACATCAAGTGGTCCAACGACGCCAGAACCTGTCCATGCCTGAATCGCCACTTGCCCAGCTCTGCTGCTTGCAGTCGAACCACAGACGCGCGCTCGGCTGGGCAGAGGCGGGCAAAGCGCAGCGTTTGCAATGATACATGTGTATGTATACATATATGTACATACATCCGTTGGGTTGGGCTCTGGAGGGATAATCACATGTTGCAAAAATAAAACAACTTCAAACTGGAACACACGCGGCGACAAACCCGGAGACTGCTCAGGATCCCAAAAAAATGAAGGGCGATCGCCTGGAACGGTGATAAGGGTCAAAAGGTCAACCCATCCCCATAGGCAAGTTCGCACGACGCCCCTCGCAATGTAGACCCGGACAACGGCAATGGATGTTCCTTGTGGTGATCCCTCCAAGGGACCCAAAATCCGGAAATAGTCCAAAGGCGAAAGTGGGATTGGGCAGTCCTGACATAGGGTCTGCCAGGTGATTTCCCAGCACCAAAAGGCTACACTCAGAAACGACCAGATTGAAATTAGAAGGGAAACCGAATCTGGGAAACTTCTCGGGGTACCTTCCCCATTCTTTTCAGGAATCCTTCTTTCTAGAAAACCTCCGGAAACCCAGGGAAGACGGCCGGTTTTTGGACAGAACGACGGTTGAAACGAATGGGGAATCAACCCCTAGAAAACTCCCTTGTTGACGGTGTTGAAAAGGATACCGTGGGGAACACGCAACCTTGAGGGGTCCATTTAAGGAAATCGAGGGACTGCCTTCAAGTTAAAGAGTGACGGTAAATCCCAAAATACCTTCGTTGATGGTCCGTACTTGTCTCCTCCCACTGAGTTCATTAAACAAACATGTTCTTCCTTCTTGACGCTGTTCAGTCCCTACATTCCCCCTTCAAACCATCGCCCAAGGAAACTCTAATTCAGCTGATAAGGGTGACCCAAACCCAGCGCAAAAAATAATTGCACCATTTCAAAGTGCGTCTGGAAAAATGTGACCATCAGTGTCAAGTGCTAAACGTCAACATCATGAATCATGACCCCAGTTTCTTGAACGATCGAAGGGACATATCCCAAACCTCCGATGCTCCTAGAGATTCGGCAAACCAGCAGATAAAAGTTGTTGCTTTTTTTGCGAACTGGGCCAAACGTATCCTGCAAGCCACCCTGTCAAAGTCCCTGTCCATTTCGAACGGAAAAGGTACATACAACAAGGATACTTGAACGAGCCAGTGAAATGTGCCCGAGCTTTGTCCACCTTAGGCGGCGGGTGACCAACTTTGACACCAAGTCCCCCCGAGCTCCGCTTGGGAGAACAGAGAAACCGACGCCATTTTGTGGGGCCCCAAAAAACAAGACCATTTTGGGGGCCCCCCAAATAAAAGCATTTGGGGGGCCTTTCTTTGAAAGAAACGGACAAAAAACACCATTTCGGGGAGCCCCCCCCCCAAATCCAAAAAATGGTGGGCCTTCCAACAAAAGAGACACCCACCTTTCCAACCCCAAGGCCATCTTGTGGTTTTCCAATTTGGGGGGGGGGGGGTTTTGGAGCAAGCAGGGGTCCTTCAACCCACCTCAATGTCTATACCCCCCCCTACACTTTTCAGTCCATTTAAAAACAGCATACCATTTCAACCATTCAAATCCAACATTCCAAAGCTACCTACCATTTCAACCATTCAAATCCAACATTCCAAAGCTACCTACCATTTCAACCATATTTTTCCTTACTCAGATAGGTTGAAGGTCCCTTATTCAAAAACCCCCAACAACAAAGAACATAGCAAAAAAACCAAACAAGGAACAGAACACAGAACATTCCAAAACAACCAACCAACGAAACATTCCAAAGAACTTTTCAAAGAACCTAAACAAAAACAACTAACAAGAACAGCCCCCTAATTTCGGGGAAACACCGTCGCTCGCACCGCGCCACGTCTTCTTCGTCTTCAACCATGTCAAGGCGGGATGACGGGGCGTGTCAGTCAGTGGTTGTCAGTGTTGATGTACTGTCTGGTGTCATTGCACCTGCTTTTTTGACCAGTTGCTTTGGCTCAATCAAGATTGTTGGCGCATCGCTTTTTGTTTGCAATGAGCGACCCCTTCGCAAAGAGCCCCTTCACCAAAGACAAGATGCCACCGCCATCAATCATCATGGTGGCAAAGGGTGGATATGACGACACCAAGCCCTCAACAGAACCAGCCCGTGGTTCAAATGACCCTCCTCGCGAAGACCCACCGCAAGATGACCCCAGTGGCTCTGATGACCCAGAAGGCTCTGATGACCCCAGTGGCTCTGATGACCCAGAAGGCTCTGATGACCCAGACGGCTCTGGTTCTGACAGCAGTGGAGACCATGATTGCCACAACTGCAAGGTTTTGGCAAACGAAGTCAGTAGGCTGTCGGCGATGAACCAATCCCTCTTCATCACCATGCAACACGGCTTTCACTCTGGAAATCCTACCCTCGGTGCGCAGGAGTTCAACCCAGATGATTTGCCCGATGACCGCTTGGAGCTGATGCGTCTTGCCAAAATGGCTAGTTTGATTTCTAACAGGGCAACCATCAAGAAGGGGCTGATGATTGACAACATGTCTGAGATTGCCATCTACGTGTCTTATCCAGAGAGGCGCGAAACCAAGCAGTTGTTCTTCCGGTCCAAGCACACCATCAAAAAGATGAAGAGTGAGATTTGCAGGAGGTTTGACATCCCGCAGTCCCTTGCCGACAACTTCACCTACAAGCTCGTTGAGGGGCACCTCTCAATGCACTTTTCTGTACGAGGGCACACCATTGACAAGGGACTTCAACCGCTTCAACCTGTCGTCCATCTTCACGGACACTGCCAAGATTGAGTTCTCGCTTGGTGGAATTGCGGGTGGTGGTGGCAAACGTTTGCCAGTGAAGAAGCTCATCATCAGTGCTCGGAAGCAGGACCGTGAGAACTGCATGAAGAAGCAAGACCTTTCCAAGATGAATGTGGTGGATAAAGTCATTGCTTCCATCAACAAGGACATGAACATCGTCTATGAGAAGACCGAGCAAATGGATGCCGTTGCTGTCTTCCAGAACATTCTCCGCGCTATCCCCGACACCTCCCTTGGCACGATGAAGACCAGCGACTTCTTGAAATGCATTTCGGAGACAAGTTCAGAAGCCCGTTTGGAGAAAACAACTATCAATTTGCTCAAATCGCTCTACCCTGCCTTGTATGACATGAAGGCTGAGATTGACACTACGATTGAAGGGGCTTCCTTGACCATTGAGTTGCTCATGGCAAAGGCTTTCATGAGCGATGGGTCTGGCAAATGGAGTTGGAAATCCATCAAGGAGTGCATTGAGAAGGAGATGCTTCGTCGTGAGGCTAAAAAAGCCGAAGACGATGATGTTGATATGCTGTCAATTGGTGTGGCAAATTTGTCCGCAAAGTAGCGGTGACAAAGCCATTGCATTTGCATTACCACTGCAAATGCCCATGTTGAACCCTAATACGTTTCATATTGAACCCTAATACGTTTCATATTGAACCCTAATACGTTTCATATTGAACCCTAATCCGTTTCATATTGAACCCTAATACGTTTCATATTGAACCCTAATACGTTTCATATTGAACCCTAATACGTTTCATATTGAACCCTAATACGTTTCATATTGAACCCTAATACGTTTCATATTGAACCCTAATACGTTTCATATTGAACCCTAATACATGTCAGATTGCAGTGGTGTGCCATGGATTGTTTCGCAAAGACACGTGCATTCACATTCGTGCTGTCGTGAGTGCAAAAGGTCTTCTCATGTGTGCACTGCATTGTGCCATTATTGAGTGCGCTCTCAGTGTTTTTGTTAGTCATCTGCATCTACCCTACCGCCAGGTTGATGACGGTGAGTACATCTTCGGCGCGGAGCCTTCGGGAGGGGTTGGGGGGCTGGGGGGTCTGGGGTTCTGTATGTAGGAGGGTTTCGTAGGAGGGTTTGTAGGAGGTTTGAGGGTTTTTCTTGGGGGGTTCCCTGTTCTTGTTTGTTCGTTCTGTTGTTGGTGGTCTGTTGTTAGTAGTATGTCAGTAGTAATAATGTTAAAAAAAATGTTAAATTAATAATAAGTTTTACAGTGCCAAAAAACACCAAAACTCCGTTAAAATACAAGGCTAAACTCTCGCGATTTTTTATTTTTAGGTTTTACTCCAACCTTGATTTTTAGGGTCTCGTAAGCAATTTTAGGTGATTTCCAAATTCTAAAAACTATTGATTATCCCATTAAAACTCATAATTTTCAAAATTTTAATTTTTCATATTTTTTACTGTGTTGTCGTTGGATGAACCTAGAAATTTCAAGTTTGAGCTCCAACTCCAACTCAAATTCCTTAATCCGTCAAACTCGTCAAAATCTCACTCTTGCAATTTTTCCAACACTACCTGACCCACTGAATAACTCTAATAAATTCATATTATTAGAATTATTTAGAAATTAATCTAAGGAATATTTGCCGTTCGCATCCTTAACCAGCTTGTAATATTCAATGGTTTCTTGTCTTGGCATCTTGATTTTATTGTCGTTAATCATTTCACAGTATTTCTTTCTTTTATCATCAAAACTCCCAGCTGGTCTGCCTAAGCCTTTCTTTTGAAAAATCTTATCAATCTTTTCCTTCTCATCAACATTATCTGCTATGTTGGCTTGAAACTTT